GGTACGCTCATTATATTTGAAAACAATTTCATTAAGACTCCACTCAACATCATAGTTATAATTATTTCATTAATACGAAAAATTGTTTTGTAACACCCACTTTCCTTCAGCGTATTACAATTATTATTTTACCAAAAACTTTAACTTTTAAAAGACTAACAGTCAGTTGCACAAACGTCCTTTAAAATTTTCATTAGTTTAAAGCGACATTACCCATATAAATTTGACATTCATTAGAACTTAAAGGCGTCCTTAAACCTTAATGGACGTTTGTACAACTGACCGTAAATCTAGCTTTACACATTCAACACAATACTTTAAGAGACATTGGGGCTTACTTATAATAAAATTTTAAATTCTTTTTTTTCTGCATTTTTGCATAAATTGACTTATCTTTTTCAAACGAGGAAGGCCCGCATCTGGGGAAAGGGGGATGGCAGTGGGGCGTCAAAATCATCATGATTCCAAATTCCTAAGTGAAATAAAAAATCATACATTTCAAATTCAGGGGTAAATGAAGGGCGCCATATGAAGTTTTTCCCCTAGTTAAAGAAAATCGAAGACCCGGCCTTGAAACAAGTACATCTTTGGATGTGTGGTAATATAATATTTTTAAATGAGTGTTAACTCTATAACGAAACGCCTGTTATAATTAGAGCTGTTGTGCAATCCACATATCAGCCGCATCGATTGAAGTGATCTGACGCGCGCTTCGGCCACCGCTTATGCACTTCAATAGTTTGCCCATTCAAATGTCAGCGTTGATAAATTACAAAGATCTGCATAAAGCCAACGGCAGAGAAATTAACATTGAATTTTATTTATTCTAATATCCAATACGTTCGCGAAATATTTGTATTCTACTTTGTTATATGTCTCATGTGAAAAGTTGTCTCTTTAATAATTTTAAAGATTTGAAAAGGTGTAGTTTTCGCTTTATATAAATTAAAAATATTTTTTTACTGAACATAAATCAAAGAAATGCTTGACTAAGTGTAAATAATGGTATTTTTTTCAGCTAAGAACCGACTTTACTTTGTAAAGTAATAAGGTTTATTTTTATGATGACATTGATGAGGTTTATGATTACTCAGTATTATATTTATTTATTTTATTGAATTGAATTAAATTAAACTGTTTGGTTTTCTCATTAATGATAATTGATAGGTATTTGATATTTTTTAATATGTGATGATCTGAGAGATCTTAAACTGTAATATTGGTATACAATAACGTAAAATAACAATTTTATTTTGTCGTAGCCATATTTAATGACCGTCGCTTCAGTACACTTCACATAGTTAAATTAGCATTAGTATCCCTTGTAAGGGAAGTTACTTTTTATTTCACTCTTGCATAACTAATTTATTAGTAACGATTATTCGTTTTTTTTGTCTTAAAACTTATACAGTCTAGCGGATATTTCATTATTATTTCTATTTAAATGAACTTTACCACCTTAACATAAAGTTTATTTTAAAAAGCTACTTAATGCAGATTTATATAGTGTTGCTAGTGAATACAGAGTTAGCGTGAACTTCGAGTAATGTGCGCAATAGAAAAAAAGTGTTCGCAAACGATGTCAATAATTCGCAGGGTTCTTTCAAAATTATTTAAAAAAAATTATATAAATTGAATGCTTTATATTCAGTAATACCTACAGATAAGCTACGGACAGATACTTAAGTAGTTCCTCAATCAACAAGAAAAACAGTGATATAATTTTATTTGAAATCGACAGTAAGAGGGTTTGTATTGATGTCATAAAACAATTTCTAATAGAAGTGTCTATTATATGAAAAGCAAAAATCATCACCAGAAAATCTTTACGCAAATGAAGTAAAGTGTTGTCTTATATTTTGACAATAAACGGTTTTGTTGTTCACTTATGGATCCCTAAAATGTATCGTGCAGTTAGAGAAATCGTGACCTTATTCCCTGCCTTTGCCCATTAATGGAATAAATGCCATGGTTTCGATTCAATGCAATCGATAGGAAAATAAAAAAAATGTATTTTGAATAGGAAAGTTAAAATAGGAATATGTATTGACTTTTTTATTACTTTCTATTCTATAGCTCTTAAGTGGTAGTGAGATGGCGACAAGTGTTGCCAACTCGATACGTAAGGTAAGTGTCAGATGACATCTCAAAGTTCAAAATGCTAGGGATACCAAAAAAAAGTGTTAGACAGAAAAGCACTTTAGAATCGGCAATTACGCTAACGTGCGCTGAAGGGGAAGTGGGGAGGAATACATCCTCTCCGTTACAAAAGTGCGGAGAAGAGAAAATTTGATTATTATATCATCCATATAATTAAAATGTAGGTTTTATAAACATTAGTTTTATGTTATAAAGACAAAAACTTTTGCTGTTATCTTCGCTTGGGGATTGTCTTAAATTTTTAACCTATCACGTGACCTACAGGACCAAAACAACTTCCTATACCTATATGTTTTTTTTTGTTATCTGTTAAAAAAGCTTTGAAATTCAAGGCGATGGCTATGCTGCGCTTAGCACTCATAGCACGTGACCAGAGGGCGAAAATAACCTAGTTTTTAATATATTTTTTAAATAGGTTTCTCATAATTAATTTATTGTTACGTCTCGTTATTTGGAATTAAAAAAAGCAACTCAATCAGTTACCATGGGACTTCTCACTCAAAATAGATGAGAATTTAAGATTTAAGGAACACAATGCTGAAGCATTTCGTGTGTTATTCACCGTCTTAAAGGATTAAAGTTCTATATAAAATAAGACCTTATCTTTTGTAGGATTTACGTGTCCAACTGACTGCTTCTCTAGTGATGTCGAAGCTCAACTATGATAAAAATGATTGAAGAAAGTGTCCGTCCTATGACCGGTCATTGTGAAAGTTGATTAATGACCGTATCACAAACCTAACGCGCTAACCACTGCGCAATCAACCTCCACAATCTATAGTCAAATAAAAATTGTGTAAACACAACTTTGTTAATATCTTTTCGAATCAGGTTATTTGCATCGAGTATCGCAAGCGGACCGGGTATTGGCAAACGGACGCGCCGCCGCGGGCGAGGCGTCATTGAAATGTGTTGCCATTGTGCACTGAATAAATAAATAAATATTTTAGCGTACCACCCAGGTCGGCTCACACAAAGCGCCTCCTGATTGATCCCTGAAGGGCAGCCCGTTTTATTTCCATGCCCGATATGGTGCCGGCTGAGATCTGGGTACCTAAATTTAATAAGGCCGCACCCGTTTCTCGTTACTTCGCTTTTGATAGATTTAGCATTTTATTTAATGTGTAAATACATATTCTTTTTATGAAATAACAAAATAATTTAATGCAAGTTCTTAATAAGCTGAATCCATTTATTTTTTAAGACGATATTTGCCAGTTTATAACCGTTTCCCTCTTCTTAATAAGAAAAGGAAAAATCGATCGACCAAAGGAAAAGCGTAAGTTATACGAGTACATCACTCATTGGTAAAGAATAGTGTTCCACATAGATAAAATATTGGCAGCAATAGATTTTAAATTTCGTCCCTTCAGAACAAGGTTAGAACAAGTCTAAGGAAACCAAACATAAATAGGAACAATATTGTGACTTTTCTATAATATTAATTCTTCTGCGTGAATTATATGATTTTCGAAGCCTTTAGGTATAAATTTTTTTAAATCTTTTGTTAGCGAAGCTCTATGACATAATAAAAATGAGTGTCTTTCATTTCGACTCCCCTGGCACTTGAGCTGTGCGTTAATAGATTAGTAAGTCAATCATCTTCTTATATCTTATATAAATTTCCATATTAGCAATTATTAAAGGGTTTTGTACTAAAACAATGCACTGCTATTCCTCATAACAAAAGACGAAAGGATAAAGTTTGCAGTCAAGAAACTAAAGTAAAATGCTTTTTACAACAAAATTCTATACCTTCCTAGGACAGATCATACACTATAATATTAACCTTATTTGGAACAATGTAATTTATGAATAAATTATTATTATATCTGAGTATAGTAGGAAAACTCCTCTAATATGGAATTTACACTACTTTCATTTATTTCCCCTCTTCAATTGACTTCTTAATAATGATTCAAAATCATTTACTTTATTTTATAGTATATGAAATTGTTTAATGTGTTTTCGTGATAGTAAAATATTTAATAATATCGTTGTAGGTCGGCAAGGTCAGGTACTTAATTTACATAAGGTGCACCTAATAAGAGTACAAAACTCTTGGTCGTCTTGTCTTGTCAATCACAGTTGTTTTTGCCTGTCCGCCGTAATAATTGCACCTCATAAATTCTCTTTATTGACGTGCTATGATGAATGTAAATATGCTTCAGGGAACTAATGAACTCTCTCAGAAGCTAAACGAGATTTTGTGCAATTTCATTCTATAATACTAAATTATATATTGAGTATGGAGCAAGAATAGGAGTACTTGCTGAATATTTAAAAATAAATGTTAGTACCTAACTATATTTCTTTATAAATATTCAGTAAGCAAATAATTTTTATTTCATAAATGTGTGAGAGTGAGCTGGATGTAAAATGTTTCCCAGCAAAATGTCCCTTTTAGAGTTCTCCACTAAATGAAAAGTAGGATGTAATATACACGTACTTTAATTGTCATGTTTCCAATGATATGATTTGAAATTTCTTATTTAAATATCAAAATATAATTTGATTTATTGTAATATGTATTTTGTTTTTTACAAACTATTCAAACTTAGTATATTGATAAAAATAGATCGTCAACCTCCGGGTACAATAGATATTTTCCCTTCTTTATTTTCAATGTAGTAGTAATAATGTAGAGTAGCTCAGTGGAGTAGTGGATAGGCACCGCGGCTCGTCATCATTATTGTTAAGCAACTTTCGCAAGGGTCAGTCACGGGTTGGTTACCGAAGAAATATTATCTCGAGCTACTCCGTGTTTCGAAGGTACAATAAGCCGGTGTTCCCGTTGCATCTAAATTCGGTAACATCCATCAATACGCACTGGACTCACATGCTGTGTAGTGGTCCATTATCTCCATTCGATTCTATTCAATCCATAGAGACGGCCTGTGCCTTGTACTTATATCCTTATGTGTTGTCATATTGTAGGAAATATGTTTGTTAGTTTGCTTACTTAACTGTAAGTGACACTACCGCCGCGTCTTCAGTCACGGGTTGGTAGGGCAGCCAGCGGTCGCGTGCTTTATAATCATCAAAAATAATATCAAAAATAAATTACTTTAATTAATTAAATTACTATTTATATTAAACTATTGATTATAAAGTTCAGTATTGGCCGTAGTTTGATGTCATATGAGGACCGATTGAGTAAATTCAATATTACATCTCTTAACACACGTCGTTATCAACATGATTTAATAACTCTTCATAAATTAGTTCATTCCGTAATTGACTCAGAATATATTTTTTCATCTGTTAATATTAATTTCAAATATAATCCAAGACGCAGGCTTCCAACTTTTGTCATACCCACATATAGATATATATCTTTTCATAATCCCATCGCTCGTATGTGTAGAAGTTATAATGAGATCCTCCCAGTTAATCAGGCATTAGACATATTTAATGCCAATCTCTTTATATTCAAAAACTGTATTAAAAAAATTGTGGTAGACCTAAATGTCGCATCTTTTTAATCATCCAGATTGATATTTTACTTCTTCCTTCTGTTTTTTCATTTTAGTAAAAAAAAATCTTTACCTATCTAATTGTGTAAACACCTTTAGGATATTAATTTAGTACACAGTTGTTACTTATTATACGATACATATATATTTTAATTAATTTCTGTTGTGTTACCTCATAAATAAATACTATTATGTTGATATGTGATTTGTGACTTAAACTTTATTTTGCAAATTTCGATAACGTTATTTTGTCGTATTAGGATCAGAACTTTTTATTTGGTCTGAGGTATTTAGTTCTACATAATATAACGCTACGGTTGAAATTCCCTTCCGTTTCCTCAAACGTTGAAACGAACGACAGATTATTTAAATTCAACAGATATATAAAATATTGTCGGTTTGGGAATTATGTCCGCAGTAAATAATACATCAAGAATGCTCTCGAGAAATATGATTATCCGACAAAAGATGGTGTTATAAATGATTTCGTACGTTCATAAAAGTCGTATTTATTGGTTTTTAAAGCTGCACTCGATCTTGTATTTAGGTAATTTAATGCAGATAGTTTACGCTCAATTTATTTGCAATATTATTAATAATAATTCTCATCTCTAAAATATATATGTAATTAATAATAGAGATGCGCCGAATACTATTCGGTTTAAACTTTACCTAACCGGATATTCGGCCGAATAAACTAAAATAACACACTATATTTCATATAATTTCTTTGTCTTAGAATATAATATAAACCTTACTTATGATTTTCTGTCTTTTTACTGCAAAATGAGTTGTGAAATCAACAAAATACAAATACTGGAACCGAATATATTCGGCACCAAAATCAATATATAATTCGGGCGAATACTACTTAATAGTGAAAAAGCCGAATAGGTCAAATACTTGTTATAAATCTTAGGATTAAATCATTAAATTGAGATCTGTTTCCACAAAATTCACTTGATAAGATAGATAGATAGATAACACTTTATTGTAAACACCAAATACAAAACATACATAGAACAAACAAATAAGATTTTATCTTTCGGTATAGTATTGTTAGATATATATAATTTTTCGAGATCGATGGGGCAGTGGCTAGCTTTCGTAATGACCGGTCATAAGATGGGTGACCAAAAATTTATTATTTCGAGCTCCTCTGTGATACGGAAGGCACTTTAAACCGATGGTCCCGGCTGCACTGCGTGTCCACGTGATGGCTCATTGCTAATGCTGCCAGGTTCAATTTGTTTTAAATTGGGACATAAGGTAAAATTATTCGGGTAGAAAATCGGGACATACGTTAGCCCGTATTTATTCCATATTTTCACGTCACAGATTCTCAAACACTTCACACTACGCAATATTTCATGCACACTTTAATTCATTTAAGTTTTTTACCATTATCTTCACTCATTTATCCCATCCTCTCCCAACGCCTTTATGTCTGTTTAATGGCTTCCTGGAGGTTAACCCGGTGAGACGAGTTATTTTAATAAATAAATGTTAAGCAACTGCACATACACTGCTCAGATTCCGAGAGGAGTAGATAAAGTCCCCGTATTATGGAGTATCCAAGACAACCAAATCACAACATCCAGACCCGAGACCCGAGAAAAGTGCGTTTCTACATTGACCCGACCGAGAATCGAACCCGGGAACTAGGAGATGGCGAAACTTTGAAACCGGCGTGCGAACATTCGGCTACGGAGGACGTCATTTTACCCGGTAGTTGGCCATTCCGTTTCATTCGAACAAGACCAGCAGGTGTATTCGCTAACTCAGCTGACGAATAAAATACACAAAGTCTTAGACTAAAATTGGTTTAAAAAGTGGTAAAATTCTTAACAACTCGCCTTAATAATAAGTTTTGATTACAGTTAATAGAGTACAAAATAATTATAATTCAAAACTTTAAGGCCTCATTGGATAACACTCCAATTTCGCATGTCAGTCGACGAAACTGATTTAAAAAGCTTTCTGATAGCTTTCTGACCTAACATTTTAACAAGGAATATCATACCAAGAGGCAGAGATAATTCGAAATGTCCGTATTCTCGCAGCATGCTTATCCAACAATATCGCCCGTCAGGCAATAGCATTAATCTCAGGTGACAGCTCAATTATTGTACCTTTGTCATAGTTCAAATAAATGTGCGGTGTAAAATCTTTATTTAGGTATTAAACAGAATAGGTTGTTATATATGCAGACAAAAAGTATAAAGAAAGATAAACACTATTGCACGTATAAAACTATATCACTAAGATCTCTTCCACCAGGAAGATAGAATAAGGTTATAACCTAACCCTTTTTTTGGACGTTGAGAAATGCGTTACACATACTTGCTCCCCCCTAGCGCGGTGTCGGCGGGTTATCAACCTAACCTAACTTTAATTGTAGGATACATCAACAGAGAGTACGACGGTGGTGTATCGACGGCAACGAGTTGCATATACGACAAAACTAGAAATAGAAAACATACGAGATACCACAAGACAACTATTTTATATAATTTTTCATTATAAGAATAGATATATTGAAGAATTCATACTGTTCTTATTTAACTTTCTCTCTTTTGTTCTTGTGGAATGCATATTGCACCGAAAACAGGTATTTCCTCAACGACAATCAGAAAGGTCTGTAAGCTTGATGCGATATCAAAACATTATCATGTTATTTTTGCAAATTATATTTGTAATTGCCGGTAAGTACGTGATCTTTACATTACACGTCCATTGTCATATGATGTGGTATAAGGTTATTCTGCTCTCACTTGAAAACAGTACGTTCTTCCATTCCTCTACAGTTCAGTCAGCATAATCTCGTACAAAACCAAGTCTAGCCCTATGGTGTTGTGGGAGCAATTGCGGAGCGCGAACTGCATGAATAGCTCTCAAATTACTTTCAGCTAGTCTTTTTCTAACGGTACGTTCACTGACACTGACATTTTTCACCTCAAAAAGACGCGTACTAGTTTCAGTAGCGGTCGAAAAGCGATTTCTCAGCACATTGGTTGTGCATACACCGTTGTCGTCTCACCTGGCCTGCGGGTGCATAAGCCTGTCTCACGAAATTATCTGATGGCATCTCGTTCCGTAGTTCGAGGTAATCAGATGTACGAGCTGTACCACGCGTCAGCTAAAGCCATTGCTCTAGTCGAATCAGTTGCATCGAATTGCTTTTTGCAATTACAAAAAAAAAAAAAACAATATTCACCCACTATGATAGAAAATAACAGCAAATGTTAACTCGGTAACACAACAGCAACAATGTAAAACAATGTGACATAAATTTAGAAATAAAATAATGGCATAAGTGTTTTATTTATTGCTAGAGTACCCATTTAAACAACACAGTTGATAAGCCATAGTTGACAACAGGGTAATGAACGGTACAGGTGGGCGGTTAATTAATTGTGCCTGTGAGTGTTGAACAAGCCGTTGTTCTAGCATCCTAGGAGGTACCGAGGGTAAATAGAAGCGCGTCATAAACTGACTATAGTTTTGCATTCCAAAAACAGAAACCGGCATCGTTAACAAGAGAGAGAACTGTCATTAGATATATACCTTTTTTAACAAAATATAATACCGCGATATACTAAATGCACAGCTCCATCTTTTAATGAAAATAAGAAATATATATGTCATAAATATCATTTACATAACCATAAATACATTATTTTATAAGCATTTTATTTGTGTTGATAATTAAAGTAAATACATGCAGAAACGGCTTATACAAGCATATATATTTTTATTTATTCAAAAATTACCTTTGTTGTATGGGCACCCTCTTAAATATTTATTTCATCCTTTCCTTTACTATTTGTTATTGTAGCAGCAACGAAAGTAACATCTGTGAAAATTTCAACTATTTAACTATGGCAATTAAAAAAAAGTCATAACTTGTTACTATTAGGTAAGACATGTCTTTAAGAATTCGAATCTAATGTAGAGTTGTAATACCTTTTAAATTGAATATAAAAGTCTAATCCAACCCTGTACTATGCTTTGGAATTTTTCTTATTTCTTACTTACTCTTGGGAAAGGATTTTCTGCTTTTAAGTTTTTTAACTATAACTTTATATTATCCTCCTCTTTTTGAATTATTAAATATCCAAATTGTTTGCTTAGAATTCTGTGTTTCTTTGTATAAGACAAAATTTTAGATATCTCTATTATAATACTGTTTATTGAAATGCTCTGAAATGCTCACAGAAAGAAGTAACGATTCGTTTAGTGCTATTCAGCGAAAGAGAATAGCATCCTTCATGTCCAGGGTCGACAGGTCTGATAATGCTATAGTAAAGGGTCTAATCGAATCACTTGTGGAAACTGAAACAACTATGGTTGAATGTTGCCATCTGTATTATGTAATATTTTTATTTGGAATCACATGTTTCTGTAACTTGTAACTAATATGGATCACTGGGTTTGAAATAAAGATTTATTATTATTATTTGGTTAATATTCCATAATTTATTAATCCATAATTATTAATTGACTTAAATAAATGGAAATGTTTCCGTCGATATTCCTTTACCTAACTAATAAATAAATACAAGCCCTCGAGAAAGCGCCCTCTGATAGACATAATAGAAAGTTCTTCACTGTCTTAAGTTCGATGGAAGATGAGGTTTACTTACTTTTGTGCTTTGAGAACTGTTGCGAGCTTTGTCGGAAGTTTCTTAAGCATTTATCAGAGGGCGCTGTTGTTAACTTATTTTCGTGTAAGTACACCTGGCATATCAGATTATATACTCCATTATATTAAACTTTTGGAGACGATTTTAAATATAAAAGTATAAAATCTAGAGAACAAATTTGTTCAAACAAGTTATGTATCCTGTATACGAATAGCATAGGTAACTGTAAGAATTATGGAGAGCAGTGAAATTAAATATTAAAGATAAGTAATATTATTACTTATAAGCTTATTAAAATTAATTAGAACTAGAACATAGAATAAATTATTTATAACTTTTACATTCAATGTTACTTCAAAAGACAATACAAAAATCCATCATCGCGACAGTGTCATAATATTATTCCTTTTTAATCATATTTCGAACTTTGGATTTGCAACCTCAATAATAACAGAAATTAATTCTGTTCTGTAAAAAAAGCAACCCTTGTCAGTTTCTTGCCGGTTCTCCTCGGTTCTCCCGCTGTAGATTTACGAACCAATGGCATAGAGTTCACAAGTGGTTGTAACAGTCTAGACTGAATATAAATGATTTTTATTTGATTTGAAAAATAATATATTATTTAAATTAATTATTAAAAA